TTACGTTGTCTCGTTTGATTACTGAAACTGGCTAGTGAAACTGTACAACTGTAAATTTGGTGGTGTTCGATTTTTTTAGCCTGAATTATCGCGAAGCACTGATTAACATTTGTGTCAATTATCCATATAATCTGATGTGATTTTGCAAACTGGGTGACATGCCACTCATTACTTTGCGAATTCGTGGTACCACGTGAAATGCAGGAAATAAATTTTCCAACGACAGTGGGGATGACACAGACCCTGAAACTTCCAGTCCGTGTTCATCCAAGGGAGTGGTGATCCATACGAGACACCAAAAACAGTCCAAACTGCGATAACCTGACAAGTCATTACTGAATTGAATGAGTAAGTTTCTTTCAACCGAATATCGATTAACTGAGGGTAATCGGTGTTATCGTGGCCAAACGCATGACTGTGTAGGCGTACCGGCCTTAAAAAACCTTTGGGCGTCGTTTCTTCTAACTCTGCGGAACCGAAACCCCCTGGTGAGAGAAATTTATTGCTCTTCTTTTAGGACCAACCATGTTTGCGATGATGTGTATTTGTTAGCTGTTTTTCTGCTGATGTGTAGCGGACATTTCCTTGTTTCCTCAACCGACTTCACTTAATTTGTCTAGTACATCCGTGTTCACTAGATCACGTGACTCGTCTGCTTCGCAAGCTACAAATCACGTGACAAACCTTGTTCCGCTCGCAACCTTGACCGACAACAAGTCAATTCCCGTCTCGTAGGCATCGCAACGATTCTATGTAATATGCACACGTCAAACACAACACAATCACCGCGCACAGGGAGTCAGCCAAACACGGACAATTACGGAACACATGTAGCAGCTATACTGTGGAGAAAGCACGTTCCCACCGTCCGGACTTTCACCCCGATAACTCTCACGAGTTATCTACAAACGATAAGTCACTTTTTGACTTATTCCACTGTTCGCACTGTATTTATTTTATCATGGATCAGCTGTAAACCACAGTAAAAACTGCTATCAGTGATTACACTGCACAGTGCAGTGTCAACGTCCGCACACCAAACAACGGCGAGCGGAACAATGGCTCAGCAGCGTGGGTTGTGGCCGTTCCTTCCGCCGCCGGTCTCGTGATTCTCATTGGACGTGTGACCACGCGGAACCCATGAGAAAACAAAACAAATCAGGTAGGTTCACATGGGTAATAAGTAGGTCAGGAGCGCGCACTCACACACAGACACACATGTCAATACACAAGTGTCGGAAAGGACGGTCTTTGCGGTAAGGTAAGTGGCGGATACGAATAAGCAAAACAACTGGAGATCAAAAGTACACAGGCGGAGTAAGCAAATGAATGGGGGAATTATCATAAGGTCAAGTTAGATTCAACACTTATGACCGTGAACTATCATAACTCGTGCACTAGTAGTCGTTTTTTTGCATGCAAAGTTTGTTTGATGCAAAAGCTACCCCTGAATTGCTTGCTTGCTTCTCACTTTCATCAGATGATTGGTTTTTCCGACAACTTTGTGTAGGCGAGATAAAAGAGCTACACAATGGTCAATAGGAATGCACATTCTTGGATTTCTATGGTCATGTCAACTTGCCCGTTCGTTGTGCTCACTGGGACTCAAACCAATAACAGCTCCCTGCATCTGTGGAGTTGAACTTCCAGCTGCACTTATACCATCACTATGGCGGCTTTTATAACCTCCTGTAAAATTATCGAATGTGAAAGTAGCTCCCAAATGACAGTTTGGTATTTGATCAAGCACTGCCTTTTGATGTACCGTAGTGGGTGTAACAGGAATCCAGGGACCGACATAGAGCTCTGTGTCGTTAAGCCAAGACACTGCTTTCATTTTAATTGACGAACGGACCTCACCGTTGGATTACAAGGGCGTCAAGAACTTGCAGTGGTACCAACGAAAGCATTTCGAAGGAGCAAAAGTGAAGCTCCATACTGGTCTCGGAAGTCACGGCATTGTCTTGTTATGGCCAAATTCCCTGACTATGTCTTCATACACCCATGAACGAATGCTTCGAAAGCCTTCTGGATGGCGGACTGCTGGGAAAGTCGTACCATCCGGCTACGGGTGAACGATGCTCATTCCCTATCTGATGCCGTGAGGTTGGGTGGTGAGACCAAGTACTATGGGACGCCGTCAGTTAGCCGGTACATATACCTCAGCTAATTCAAGGCTGCAACCGATAGCCTCGCCCGGCTGAATGGGTCTTGAGGTAGCCCAGTTTCTAAGGTGCAAGTTTACTGACCGAGAGGTCCATGGTTAGAGCCCAGTCCCGACTGTTCCCCTCCAGGTTGATACTATTCCGGCTCTTGTGTTTCGTTCGGGTGGCACTTGAAAATTGAACGATCATCATTTCTCATTACTCTTCACGCAAAGTGTCCCGGTTCGATGTTTCCCCCAGTTTGACAGCACAGCCAAAAGAAGGGTTTAGCTAATTGATTCAATACAATTCGTACAAATGAATCGTTTGATAGTTACACGTGCGAGTAAAATACCAGCCTGTCTAGGGCAATGAAAATTACGGGGAGCAGCAGCTTCATGTTGATCATGGTCCATTTTGTCCCACGGTTGCAAGCATGACGTCCATTGACGAGACGGACTTCTGTTGGAGACTCTGCAAGTGTAAAGATGTGAGAAAATGTGTTTACAGGAAAGTTGTGGTACGCTATAGAACGTTTTTTCGTAGTATGTACAATTTCTCACGACCTGTCGACAATTGGTATCCCCGCGAACAGGAGATCCATTCGTGACGGTCACTTTTCACCGGACAGTACCACGGAGAAACCCATTAACTGTTACGCAATTTTCTGAAACAGATAGGTCTGGTTTCGCCGGTGTGGATGGACGGAGAGGAAAGTCAACAATCACCAGTATTCCAAGCGGTCAGGGAGCGGATTGAAGAAATTTGAAACAAGCGTTCTCTACCGTTACACTTTAGACTGTACGGGGATCCAGTAGTTCTACACTTTTTCAGTTGGAGACACTACAAGATATGGCTGCCAACCGATGTCAGTGACGTTCTTGTTGTCAGTTTCTATCCATATCGCCTGAGTGAATGTCTGGAGGTGTAGGCACCTTGGAATGATTGTGTTAAGCTAGCACTAAGTCCTTTCCCCGTCCACTTTTACTCTTTCCTTTACAATATGGCTTTCAAATAAATTATGATTGTATGGCAGTGAAGCATCGGTGTTGAACATTGATGTCATGCTGTCGATGATGATGGTGATGATGATGATGATAATGATGATGATGGTACTTTTTTAGCCCGTTCAACTTAGAATCTTCAAAATTAGAATTTGTCCACTAAACGGTACAAACTTTTGCAACTCTTAAAGGAATATCACACAAGGTGCTATGAGAGCATAAAACATCAGAGTGACCAGAACGGAGCATTTCACTTGATAGTTAAACGATTCCAATGCTGGATTGGTGGAATACATCGTGTGTCTGTCTTATTTTACAGAAGGCCCTTACGTGATCGCTTCTAGTCTTGTTTACTTTTCGCTTTCACTGTCTTGGTCGGAGAGAAGACGCAGTCGCTTCCATACCATGATACCTCACACATGTGGGGGAGGGGAAGAGAGGATAAGTCCAGAATAACTCACGAGTTATGGGTACTTTATTATGTTGAAACAGTCCGGTAGTCATTTCACGTAAATGTACGAGTGGCTGATCAACAGTGTGATCAACTCGTACGGTTAAGTGCTCCAACTACTAGCCAGGAGGTTGCGGGTTCAAAACTCTCTGGAGTTTCATCAGATGCACACTGCTGATGATTCCCAATAAGGATAAAATAGCTGTACGGTGCTTCTCAGCTTTTCAGCATAGACTAGCTTCACTTACAGGACAAAATCACTACAAAATCCCAAATATCCTCACACTACCAACAATCTACATGTAGCTTAGTGGAAGAATAAACTTCGCCCGATGAGTGAAACTTCTATCTGAGAAGTCGTTGCTCGAGGAGCCAATCGACACGTGTGACCGCGTGATGTGGATTCCGTGATTGAAGGATGAGCGGCGCTATATCCTGTCTAAGTGCGAGTTAATCACACTGCTGATCAGCCACTGTGGCCGAACGGTTAAGTGCCAGGAGGTCGCGGGTTCAAGACTCTGGAGTTCCGTGAGACGCGCACTGTTGATGAGTCCTAAGAAGGATGAAACAGCTGTACAGTGCTTCTCGGCTTTTCAGCATAGATTGGCTTCACTTGAAGGAAAGAGTCACCACAAAAATGCCAAATCTCCTAACACTGCCAACAATTCCCTTACCACTTCATTGTTCAACCGAATGTGCTTCACAAAGCCAGTCTCCTAGTTCAGCTAGAATGGTATGTTCAATGGTGGATTGCCCGGAGTTTTCACCGATCTTGTGAGTGGTAGTGAACCATAATTTGATATCTTGAATGTATTTCGAACTGAACTAGCTAATATCCAGAACAAAGATGCACTAAGAACGTCGGTCACTGTGTTCTTGGCGTTGTCTCCACTGAAACTCGGCTGCATCAAGTCTTAAATCTGAGCCTGTTTGATCCAAGACATTTCCGCATTTTGTTTCAGATAATATAGGTCCTCTTTCGATGAAACTGAAAAAAACCCATTGATATACGTAATGCACTACTCATAAGGTTGCTGAAAATTATTCGACAGCCCACAACCAGTTTCGCTCTTCTTGGGGCTCATCAAGTAGGCGAAGTCCTCAAGTTTCCGCGATATCCCGAAGATCTTAGCAACTGAAACATGAGGCGGCCTGGTGCAGCCCATTCAATTGCCTGGAAACATCACAAACCAGATATTCAGCCGGGTTCCAGGCGAGTCTTACGGAGTCTTACGGAGCACTGTGACTACAGAGACTTCCGGAATGATATGCTCAGAGATCGCTTGGTAGTTGGTGTGAGAAACGCCCGCATACACCAGTGTTTACTTGCTGATAGTTACTTAACTTTGGAAACGTCCTACGATACTGCGGTGGCATTGGAAACAGCAGAAAATAGCACAACCTTGTTACAATCTGTGCAACCTACCTACC